ATTTGACTCTGATGACTTGATATTGCTGGAAACTTGGCGAAAATAATTAGTGTCATATGAGAAAAATTTAAGTTACTCTTAATGGCTATCAAGAATTTTTATCAATAATTTTTTTAGTATTTCAAATACAAAATAGGTTGAAATTGTATTTAAAATACAAAATACATTGAATAATTTATTTGAAATACAAAATACAAAATATTTTTATGTGTTCCGCTGAAATACAAAATACAAAATACAAATTGTATTTCAAATACTGTATTTCAAATACAAGTATTTGAAATATGCCCAGCCCTGGATACAACCTTTATATTGTATAAAAAAAAAAACGTGTTACCTGCTCCCAAATATTCCTTCCGCCTGTGTACCGATCGATTCTAAATCGATAGCTTTTTGTCCCAGATTCACATCTCCGGTCTTCTCCGCGGCCGTCGACGCACCTGTCTCGTCGAATTCGCGTTTGAATATGCTCAAGAGACAAGAGATTCTGTAATCCAGTCGAACATCCAGAATAAACTGCAGGATCTCGATTATCTTGAGCTTCGTGTCCATCACCAAGGGATACTCCTTCTTCATCATCGGCTTTGGCCTTGGCGAAGAGCTGGCTAGCACCTGACCGGCTGGTCCCAATGTTAAATTTGTCATCACGGCACCCATATCGCCGATGCATCTGAGAATACCTCCTTCAGCTGTTTGAACAAATCGTAATACAAAAATGTATATTAAGCCAGATAAGGAAAATAATAGCTGTACAATATTACATATGTATAATATTGCGTATTTACATATATTACAGTTAAAAATTATAGTGCAGCAGAAGAGAGTTTAATTTGTGTTTCAAAAAAATATGTAAAACAATGATTCTGTCTTGTTATCCGTTATAGAAGAAAAACAAGAAGTTTAAAAAAATAATAATACGGTGGTTTAACAATTAAGGATATTACGTATCATAAATTATTGAATGTAGAACATTTTTATATTCGTGTTTCTAACAAGAGAGTACCGTTATAAAGAGGGTTTAAGCAAGTAAGCTTTGTGAACCTACTTTGTACAATGTATAAGATTGCATGCTTAATCTTGTTAATATTCATTCCACATATTACAGTTTAATTGAAGCTTTCAACAAGCTTTCTAATAAGGATATTACCTGCCTCCTCGGAATCCGTATCAGCTGTGTGATGAAATATTTACAAGAGTAAATTAATTAGTTTTAAACGTATTTACCATTCTGTATGTTATAAGTAATTTATCGTTGCGTGTAAACTTTATTATCAAAGGGATTTCGTATAAAGTGAAGCATGGATTACATATATATAGTACTAATATATTACAGCGTCATAAAAGAGAATATTATATACAAAGTTTCCGAAAGCGATGCTTAAAATCAGAATAAGTAAAAGCTGCTCGTGAAAATGATTAAAAGAATATATAGAGGGGAAAAGTTTATCATATCGGTGGTACATCAATGCATTGTACAAATGCAAGAAAGTAAATCAAATTTTATTATTGTTACTACCATGCGCGCGAACGGTATATATGTATATGTATATACCTATTAAGTATAAATATTGGGGTTCAATAAAAAATTCGTCAATAAACGGTACGGAACATAATTCATAGATTATGTCTCATCAAGTAAAAACAATGGAATAGAAACGGAAAAAGAAATTAAACTTACAATCAATATCACCCGTAGGTATCTTCCCATCGGTGGATTCATTCTCTGACACACAATCCAAAATACTAAGCAACGTCTTTGTTAAGCTTAATAGATCATTAAAACTGTAGAATCCAAAGTAAATTAGATCACGTGCTAATTTAACAACCTAGCGAAATATACAACGAATTAATTATAGTTTATTACATATTTAGAAAAAAACAGAAGAAAGAGAGAAAGAGAGGGAGGAAAAAGTTGTGTATACCTCAAACGTAAGCTTATTCTGCTCTTGATCCCCGAAAGACCACATCTTCGCGACAACGTTACACAGATAATCCTCAACAAACATGATTGTCGAGCTAAATTTGGTGCGAACAGCCTCTTTGTTTTCGTCCGGCATTTTATTCGTATCGTAACTAGATTTTCGAGAAAGAAAAAAGTTTTAAACAAAATTCCAGTTATTAAAGTTACAGGATTGCCACAGAAAATGAATTTTGAAATTCCCTGATCTTTTTTACGATTTCCAGACGACAGTGGAAAATTTTCCACGATCACAGTATCAAATATATAATTCTAAATTTTAATGTTTAGAAAAGACATATTACAAGAAAAGTAACTTATATTATTAAAAACAACATAAGTTTACAAGTTTAATAATATAATATAATGCAAACGCAAATTCAAGGAAAATCTAGAAAAGTCAGGGAAGACATAAAAGAGCCTAGAATTTTGAACTTTGCTCTTTTTAAAAGGGATTCACTTCGATTCTGTAACTCTTAACGACAGTTCGATATCGTTATATTTTTTATATGTATTGCTTTTTCTGATTTGAAAATTCTTTTCCAGAATTAAATAGAAAATAACAGAATGAAATGATTTTGTATGAAAATCGAAAAAATTTTCAAAAATTACAATCTTGTTTCGAGACTTCTCTCTGTTATTGCAATCAAAAATATTCTGAATATTTAGCGATATTAAAGAAATTGTAAAAAAGAATTTTCAAAGCAGAAGAGAAACAATACATACAAAAAATATAACAATATCGAACTGTCGTTAAGAGTTACAGAATCGGGGTGGATTCCTTTTAACGAGCAAAGTTCAAAATTCTAAACTCTTTTATATCTTTCCCTGACTTTTCCAGGTTTTCCTTGATCAGTTTAAATTTCCCTGACTTTTCCCGGTTTTCCAGGTCTGTGGCAATCCTGAGTTATTATCAAGTTTTTTTCTTTACGTACTCGTTTATGCTCATTTTTGACGGGATTTCTGACCAAAGGCGAGCATATTTTACGGGAGTTACTTGCTCCTGCGGATCTCTATCTACGTGAAGATGTAGCATCAGTCGGCAAAATGATGCGCGTAATTCGTACGGCACTGTTTCATCTTCCATACATCTGCAAAAAAATAAAATATCACAAGTTGAGAGATGTATCAAAATAACTTGAGAATATAATCTTTACATTAAAAACAAATGTACAACTTACTTGAGTATAAGATCAATGTCCAAATGTGGCGATAGATTATTTAATGCTAAATACTGTCTATTCAGGCACATATTACTAAAGAGATTTAATTGATGCCTGTAATAGTCTAATATTGCTGCGTCTTGAACATTTCCCATTTTCGCTCCTCTCGACAACTCACTCAAAGACATTGACTTCTGCGTTAAACACACACGTCATATTTATTTGCATGTTGCACACTACATACTAATAAACTAAAAATCGAGCATACTAACAGCTCCACTATTCCATGTCAATACAACTTCGAACTCCTCGATAACAGTGATTCTTGGTTCGGCGTTTTCCTGCTTCTCATCGATATCCTCAACCTCCACCTGGGTCTTCACCATTCTAAAGTGAATAAAATGTATCAGAGAAATCGTAACATCACTTCATATTATTGAAGCCGTTTATTTGTGCTTACTTCGTTCCTATCAGAATGTCCTTATTCTTTTCACTAAGTACGCTTTTGCAAATCAATTCTTGTGTCACGGCTATCGCTTTCTTATTAGAGATACAGAGATCCGACAAGTAATCCAGAAATCTCGATTGCCAGCCCCGCATATTTTTTCTAACGAGACCCACAAATGTCTCTATTTCCGCGGCCGTTATATGTTTCTCCAACAACTTTCTGTTATTATGTAGAAGCGCGGTAATGGTATCCTCCGCTAAAATATCGTAGCCAATTTGTTTTTGCATGAACGCAAAATGTTTAGCGATGTATTCCTATATAAAAAAAAAGAATACAAAACATTTTTGTAAAAATATATATTTACAATTAGAGATGTAAATAGAAAAAAACCAAATTTTTTTTTAAAGAAAAAACATAAGCCTCGTTTTTTCTCAAAAAATTTTTTTTCAGTTATCTATTTAATATCCATATTTTGCTTAATATAAGTTAATTTTTCATGATTTTTTATTTTATAAATAGTAGATTTAAATTATCATTTTAACCTTTAAGCAGAACGAGAAAATATATTGATTCTGAAACATATTTTGAAGCAAGGACTTCAATAAATAATTATAATAAATTCTATTTAAGGAAAAACTGTTTAGAAAAAGAATTAAAAAGATTCTTCTTTTGTAAAAGTTAAATGTAGATCACATTAAAATTAATTTTATAATTATATAATTACTATTTACAATTAATTAATCGTGCTATCAAAATTAGAAAAAAAATCAAATTCGTATTTTTTTTTCAATGAAAAAAAACGTTTTTTTTTCTAATGTTTTTTCTATTTAAAAAAAAACGTTTTTTACATTTATATTTACAATATATACAGGGTGTCACAAAATTCGCGAATCCAAATTCATTCAATAAGAAAGTCTTCAAAAAATTAAATAAAAAGTTATTTGTAAATTTTTATTTTAAGCAATGGCTACATTTAAAGTCTTATATCTCAAAAACTGTACTGCTTAAATTAAAAATTTACAAATAACCTTTTTACGTAATTTTTCGAAGACTTTCTCGCTATGATATTTTGATCCGCGAATTTCGGGACACCCTGTAAATTATTTATTATTATATCATGCGATTTCACACAAATCACCTGATTTTTTCTATAATCCTGCTGAGAAAGTCTGAGTATTCGGTAACACAGGCGAAACATGTATTTGTACGGCGCGTGTCTCGGATCGTTAAGCTCCTCTATCCTAAGAAATGGTCCCTCACCCTCCGCAGATTCCAAGAATGGAGCCTGTAATTAAGGTGTCTTGAGACACTCGTTCTCGTACTACTGCCGCTACGATCACTCTGCGCGCGCGATCAATGTCAGGTCAAAATACCTGCAATATTTTGAACAATTGGCCAAGAATGTACTGCTCGCGCAATAATTTCTGACGATCCCTCACGGTATTCGTGACGACTAGTTCCAACGCCTCGGATTTATTCTGCTCGTTCTCTAATCCCGCTATAAAGTACACGATGTCCTGCAGCAAGCTAGTGACGGCCCTTCGCTCGTTGTGGGAGATCGTTCCCCTCTCCAGCTTGCTGTTCATCGCCGTCAACACCTTGCAGGCGTCATTCGCGAAGTCCAAATCGCGCACCTCGACCGGCGACACGGATCTCAAGGCAAAGGCCTCCTTGTCCTCCTTACTGGTCGCGCAACCCACCTGACAATTTGATTTAAAAAAACGCCCTGATTTAACTAATATTTCTTCAATTCATTAATTTCACCTGCAATATCTGACGCTCGAATTATCGAATCGCCAGAATACGCTGCAGTACCTTCGACATCACGGGCTTCTCGTCATCCTTATCGATCGGCACGATCGTTGAATGGACCCAAGTGTTTGTGCATATGTGATGTAATCTTACAAAGGACGACTGCGGAACCAGACTATCGCCCCGCGTTAGAGTCGTGGGATCCAGTTCGAATAACGAGCTGATCTCGCCGCTGTGCGGCACCGACACTAATCTAAAGACCGGCCCGGGTGGATCTGTTAAATCAACCCGCAACTTCATTAACCGCAAATACTAGGTATTATTAGAACAGAAAATTATATGTAATCAGGCATTTTCTAATTTAAAATATTGGATATGTATACACTGAGAAACAAAAATGATTGTACAAACTAAATTTGTACATCTGTTTGATCCAATGGTTGATTCAACAATTTTTTTTAGTTGCACAAAGAAAGGTATAGTTCATTCATGTCAACCATCAAAAATTTTTAATCGAGAATTAACTAAACCAACTCAATTAAATTATTTTGTTCGACTACTAGTAGTATTTATTTGTGTTTGCATGCTATTTATAGTTATCCAAGTAATATATATTTGTTTAGATTCCAAGTATCAAACTAACTAAACGATGCTGATGGGGATAATAAATAGTGTGTATTTTTAATCGAACGATTGAGTTAAATGCGATAAATTTTTGTTGAAAAATAACAAAAAAACAGTATTTTGTTTATAATAGTAACAAATTATTTTGTTACTATTATAACATAATTACACTATAATTTTGTGTCATCGTGGTAACGTTTAATTGACCGTATCAAACTGAATATTTTGGTAAGGTGAAACAAATTTGATGTTTTTCCAACAAGTTCTTTTCCCAGTGTATTTTAAAAATTAATTTTTTCGAAGTATCTGTATGTCATACCGCGTTTGCCCTTCACGGGTTCTCGTGGCTCATCCGCGTCAATCTCGGCGGCGAGATACTGGCCAGTCGCTAGGTGTTTAAATCTGAAGATCGAATTCCAGTGGCCGGCGCCGCCTCTGCACGGATCGTGTTGCACCACCTATTTATATTAACAAATAAATGAAGAGTATTATTTATAAAAAAAAAACAGATGTGCCAAAAGAGATCAACAGATCACGCAATAAAAATTCGATCGATAAAATCTCAATTTCCATGTATTGGCACGATTTAAATAAAACACAGCATTCTGATAGACAAATTTACGTGAATTCAATCTGCTCGTTACCTCGACTTCCCACAAGGCTTTGCTGCTGGTAGCCGCGGTAGCGCTGGTTCTGCCCGTCGTCCTGAGAAACACGTGCTGCTTCTTCTTGTACTCGTCCATGGTCAGAAACTTCTCCTGCTCGGCGTGAAACAGCCGCACCACGTCGCCGCCCTTGAGGATCTCCTCCTGGTTCTCGCGGTGCTCCATGAAGAGGGTCACCTTCCAGGAGGTGGACGAGTTGACGACGTTGACCTCCTTGCAGCCGGGATTGTCGCTCAGCTCGTAGTTGGCGGCCACGTGGAGGCCCTGGCGGCCCGCGTTCACCGGCTCCATGATCACCTTGTCGCCGACGACGACGCTGTCGCCGTCGCTGCGCAGCTTGTAGAACGGCATTATGTAAAACCACGAGCCCTCGTTCCCGTTCGCGTCCAGGTAAACCCTCATCGCGTTCTTCTCCAGCAACGCCGGCAGCCTCTTGTTCACCGTCAGGAATTTGTTGGACTTGAGGTGCAGCAACTGGCCACACGAGTTTAAGAGTAATCGACATAAGTAATTGTATTTGTATATGTGTCCGATACGCGATTATTTATAAAATGCAAATTTATTTATGAACGCACACGCAACGCAATGTCGATGAAATTAATCTGCATGCTAATTCCACTGCTCGCACGTTTGCGTTCGTACAACATTTGCGGTGAGTAATTCGAACAAATTTGTATTTAGTTATATAACGAATTATTCCGCGAGTTAAAGGAAGCTGCAATGAATGGATAATTTTGTAACATATAATATAATTTTGCGATCTATAATATAAACCGATAACATGAGACGGAGATGATTAATCAACTTATATAATATCAATGAGGTGTCGCGAGAGATAAGAGAGAATCGATAATTAAATTAGGAATACATCACAGCAGAAATTAATTGAACGTCTAACGACGTCCACTGCTTCTGCCGTCGATCGAAGATACGATCTATAATGACTATAATATATAGGAGCAATATAACGCTCATTTCACGATGTTACACAGCTGATAGCATCTGCAGCCGACGATCAAAGGCGCCTACCTATTTCATAATTTTTAGCAACAACGTGCTGCAACGCGAAAGGGAAATTTAATTATTTGCTAGAAACTTAGCGCCGTAACTTAACGCCGCTTCTCTATATACTTTCCGACATGGCGACGATATATCGCGGAGGAAGGAAAACTCGCTAATTGGCAGACTTATCTATGCACTTATCTATATACTAGGGAGACTAACTACGTCAATACGATGGATGTACCAAACGGTTTTTATGATCGCTTTGCGAAAAAAAAAGAAGGTGCTAAGGGAAAAGCCGCTCCCCCAGCGCGCGGTTATTGATAAATCTATTATTATTCATGCAGCCACTTTGCGTTATAAGAATATGCGATCAAGCATATAAAGCGACGTTCAAGATTTACTTTAATAAAATAATGTCACTTATAAGGGGTGCTTTACTATCTAAAGAGAAAAGATTTATCTTCTTACCTGCACGACGTTACCGTAGGAAACCACGGTGCCCAACAGTTTCTTGTTTTCAGTCTCATTTTGCTTTTTCTCGATTTCGGCCGCATGCTGGGTTAAAGATAAATTCCAATTAAATGGCAATCGAGAAAAAATAAGAGATAGGCTTGCGTAACACTTATTAAAAATTCAACAGCAGTGTTACGTATTAATAACGTGATTCTCGGCAATTAACTATCGTGGATAAATGCGAAAACATATATATAAAATATATGTAATTTATGTCGAGATATATGAAAAATATATTACTAAGTTTTTCCTTTCGATTTGACAAAAACTGAAGAACAATTGCGCGCAGCATTTGCACACAGTAACGATTCCCATTAAATAATCACTAAACCGGTCACAACATTAAAAACCGGTCGGATATTTCTGTATCTACGGGCACTCTATGTGAAGTGTTCTCGTTATCACGAATTTATTTACTCTTTGAGCGCAGCACATCGTTTGTTAACAAAAGCATTGTTTCCAATTTTGGAATGTATATAAGAGAAATTTGTCTGTATAAATGTGCTTTTCTTGTAATCTCCTTAATTAATTGTGAGTTAATTAAATATTGTAACATCTTCCGCAACTCACGTGAAGTCTTTTGAGCAAGATAGCATCTGTGCCTGAACTCGCACTCTGCTTCGCTGCCTTCCAGAATTGCTTTTGGGCGGAATACCGGTTCATGGGACATATTTTGAAGAGGCAATCTAAAAAAAAAAATCAACGATCGATACATTTCTTATTTTAACATGATCCGCTTCAATTTTTGCAGGATAATAAAACGTTTAAAAAAATTAGATGTCGGAAAAACTGTCGATATTAGTTTATTTATTTTTTTAATTAAAAAAGAAAACAATTGATCGAAAGACAAAGCCAAAAATATCTCAAAAATATCAATTACCTCTGAATTTCTTCGGTGGAGTCGACAAATCTCCAGCCTCGGGACATACTACACACCGGTCGTCGACCAGCCTGAAAGCAATACATTGCCGAACTAACAAATATGCAAAGTGATATATGCTAACTGTTTTGAAACAACAAATAAATTTAATTCATAAAGTCGCTTGTTTATCGGAGAACGATGTAAATAAAGCACGTCTATTTTTTTTTTCTCGAAAAGCAAAAAGCAATTATTAGCGCACTATTGTACTATAAATACATATCGTAAGAGAAAAGTTATTCTTTGAATATTTATCATGCATTAACGCATTCGCGCTTTTCATTTTTTTGCAGTGACTAGTCTAATCATATCACAACCAGCATATTATGTGTCACGTAACGCTGATAATACACGAAGTTCCAGCATGGAACAGACATAATAGCCACACCTCCGGCTTTGCAGCTATGCAATACCGAACATTGCAGGCGAACCATCGTTAAATAAATGCGGTCTAGTGAAACAGCGATATAGGTCGGTATTGAGGCAGGCTCCGGTCTGTTTTGCCCGGCAGCTTTGCGTGAAACGAGAGAGAGAGAGATAGAAAGAGAGAGCGAGCGCTTTCATATCGTAAATGATCAAGCGCGAAAAATTGTCGTAAAAGTATTTCCCTGTTGCTATAAAGATAGTAAGGCAGCTGTAAAATAAAAAAATTTCCTCTACATGTACATATATACGTATTTTCTGTCCTGCGTTCTGTTTGTATATATCACGATCGTAAAATTTCATTACAATTGTTGCATAAAAAAAAACAGGCACGTCACGATCATCTTATTCGCGAATTCAATTTTTTTTTATACCGTATACAACATAAAACCACGTGTACGATTTTGCGTATAGCGCTCCGCGGGAAAAAAAAGTTACAACAGAAATGTCGAAGTAGAACGTGGCGTCATTTTGCAACGACAAAAGGCGCGATCGCAACTCGGCGAACACCAAGCGAGCTATTGATCCAGCTATCTCGCATTAATAGAACGTAGAGAGAGAGATGATCCCACGTCTTGCATAATGTAATCGCGCGGAGACCCAAGGTGAATAATTAGAAACCTTGTCCGGATTACAAGTGGGCTTTAAAGTTTACAGTGGGGAAAAAAAAAACCTCGTATCGCTGAGGAATATCAGCGGTGAAAAGTGTATAGCTTGCAACCATCACACGCTCGGATTGCGGTTCAATCTCGAGTACAAATCGAGATATCATCGCTCCGCTTATCTGGGTATATACAGAAGCCAATAATTAAGATAACGGGCGCGGGCTAAAATAACACGTCGATTAACATTTTAGTAATTAAATACGTATTGTAAGCCGTATCAAGATATATACATATATATATTATATATATTTATTTTTTTTCAGAATGTAAATCATAGTCCTTATCGCGCTGCGTACATTGGCATTAATTGTTTACCGCATAACATTCATAAGTCATCGTCCAACCGCCAACTCTTTTTTCCTCGTCAGTCTGTCTGGAAAAACTGCGTTTTCAAATTAATACCATAATACCGTTAAAAATGTTGTTTGTTAACCGCCTGCTCTATATAAATACGCATGAATATAAGCTTCCCTGGCTCGCTAACAAGATTGCGATTAGGCTTCTCCCGGCGAAGGCTATATAAGCCCCTCGCGAGTTGAAGGCGACGCGAACGTTATTCACGATTCGCATCTCACCTAAATCCACAATTCACGCGCAAGAGAAACACCTTACTGTACACTAGATGATCCCTCTTGGCATTAATAAGGGAGGCAGATGTAACACTAATATGGCATGCAGATACAGCGCAATGTATAAATTATGTGTTCAAAGAGAATCTCTCACAAAGTAACGTAGATGAATAGAAATTAATAAAAAATATATAAATGATTTAAATTCTCTCTTAAAAAAAAAAAATACCGGCAAACAGCATTTCATATTTTAATATCAATTTTATTTCCGCGAAAAGCAAGAGCATGATATTAAAATGCGTTGCGCGTCCTTTTCCTATTTGCCTTCATACAGCAAAATTAATACGAATAGCGACTCTAATAAAGGGTATAAAGAGAGATTTGAAGCGCACAAAGCTCGCTCGCGGGCTAGAATTTCACTCTCGCAACTTTTTAAATTCGTTCATTACAATAAAAATAATTGCACGGGTGGTGCTCCACGCGAGAACGTTCCAATTAATTACGACTGATTTTCTCGTTCGCGGTGTACAGTCAACGATTTATCGATCCCTTTTTCGCATTGAAAGGAACGTGCCGGATAAATAGAACACTTTGGGCGACCTGCCCGACAGCGGAGCTGCCGAAACAATAGATGAATTGTAGGATAAAGTCGGAGCCCCCCTCC